TTATCTTTATTTTCAGCGCATAGATCAGTTGATCTCCATCTCACTTGATGGAAAGTGATAATGAGGTCGTACATCGTCGACCTTATTATCATGCACACTTAAATAATGTTTATTCACTCTCGCCTTGATAAGGCCCAAGTTATATCGTTCGGGGTATAAGACGTCTGCGTGCACATGCGAATAAACTGATTCGTGTTCTATAGATGAAATATGCCTGTGTCAATGTCTCCGGACGCAGTCAGGTTATAGTATGACTGCATAAGCTGTTTGAGGGGGCACACTTTCCTAGATTAGTTGAATAAATATATACTCAGGGAATTCTACTCCTTAGCCATTCGGCATATACATTTGGTAGCGAAACGTTTCGTTCGAATAGTTTCTCGCGAGTACGGGAAAACGATCCATTATGAATTCTAAAGTTACAACTTTCGTTAATTAATTACGTAAATCATTTAATTTTGCACACAAACACGCACATCAGCGGAACAAAAAGTAAGAATATAAAATAGTAACGTTTATATTTATATAAATAAGAATTAGACATAAATTAGCAATTAAATTAACATCTTTTAACGTCAACTCAATACAGCCTTACTCAACTTTTATTAACCGACTTTAAAAAGGTGGAGGTTCTCTATTAGACTGTATTTTTATTGTGTATGTTACACGATTACGCCGGCATTTGTGAACCGATTTTAATGACTCTTTTGTTTGTAGGAAAGAAGATGCTTCAGTGTTCGTCCTATTTAAATTTGAAGAAAATTTTCCACCGCTAAATGTGGCAAACTAGAGGATGAATCTGGTTTCGCAATTTTCCGGTAACCGATTTCAATAAAATTTTGCGAATAGATGTAATTTCTTTTTGATGTAAGTTTTTTTGTAAATAAGTTATCTGTTCTTACTAAACTCGTCCATTAGTAACAACACCGTTTAAAACCTAGCGCCTATCAACAATGTTATCGTTTAAAAATCACTGACTTCATTTTCTTCTAAAATTAATATTAACATTAAACAAAATGAATTTTTTTATATTATGACAAATCAGAAACCTCTAAGAATTTATTCTTAACACTGCTTACTGAAATAAAAGTTTCATAAATAAAGAACCTCTCGACTAAAGTTTACAAAATGCATAAGAACGAAAAATTAACCTCCAACCACTCAAGAAATCTGTATTAGTAGGAAATTAAAATAAATTAATAAAAACAAAAAGCAGTCAATTTCTTCCCATTATCGATTACGCTGCCAATTCTATAAGTGAAAACAAAGGTCAAAGGTTCTTTGTTAAGCTGACCTGCCTACTGATACCTACGGTTTGGTTTACATAATAGCAGGCTACAAAACTTTTTTTTATAATATCAAGTGCCGGGACGAAGTCATGCGCCTGATGGTAAGCTACACGCCTGTCCATAACAGTTGTAGTGCCATTCAGATATTTAAATCGCAAAGATCTGAGGGGCACTGCCACTGCGCCCGTCACCCTCAGACATAAGTTGACAAGTCCCATGTGCCTGTAATTTCACCAGCATCCTTACCCTTCAAAACAGGAACACAGTAATGCTGACATTACTGCTTGGCGGCAGAAATAGGCAAGGTGGCAGTACTTCCGTGAAAGATTTTTACAAGGAGCTCTACTACTACTAATAACTCATACCCTTGTTGTTAGAACGCTTGTCTTCTATATCGAAAATTCTCAGTATAAAACATTATTATTTTCTTGATCAGTGAAGAAATACGTCACAATGAAATAATATAGTCAGTTGATTAGTTCATAAAGCTATCCAATTAAAATTGTACACAGCTTATGCAAATAAAAAAACGCTAAAATGCAGCCCATCCAACAGCCTCACACCAACAGTCCCATTAGCAATCCTATGATGTGTATGCTACACAGGTTTGGGAAATTCCGTGTTCCGCAAGGCTCTTTAAACCGAATTTCTGGAGGCGGTCACCATAATCTGGAAGTTCATTACGCAGACCAAACTTGTTACAAAGGTGCCAGAGAGATTTCGCTTGTACCGACTCTATTTTGTCTACATGAGTATTTTAAATAGCGTACCAGATCGCAAAACAATACTCAAGTTGACTATGGACAAACGCACAGTACAAAGTTGTAATAATTGATGATGGATTCTGAAATGGTTTCGTAGTTCTTAATATTATTATAAAACCAGGCATCCTGTTTGCTTTGCGCGTATGCACGGTGCTATAATCACGTATGCGCGTTTATTTAAGACATAGTGGTCCCTACCGCCCTCGCTAAAGAGTCCTGGGTAGGGTAGAGCCTCGGAAGCAATTGGGAGGCATTGATGCTGTCCAGAGTGAGCATTTGAAAAAAAAACCAGAATCATTTATAGTATAAACTACACTACATATATATAGGTATATATGATGTTTTTTCTTGTGAGTTTTTGTGTTGGTGAGCGTTGAAATTTTTTTATCTTACCGGAAGAGGCGAAGTGAGCGCAAAAGTTTGGGAACCTATGATTTAAGACATAAGTTAGGTTAGGAGACTTTTCCTACTCAAACTGGGTGAGTCTCCTACTTAATTTAGAACACAAAATTTAACGGACTTCCTACAGGTATTAAAGATTTATTTATTTATAAAATATCATACATGCACTGCCATATTTTACATGGTAACGTTTATATTTATAATAGCGTTTGAAAAATACTTAGTTGTTAGTGGACAGATAATTACACCGTGTCGGAGTTATTTTAACCGGGTCGCTACAATTATACTAATCTTAACTACGATCACCGTAGTAATACGTATGTACCTATGGTACTATATACAATATAGTAATAGGAACGGGTGCACATAGCGTATTTAATATAATTGGAAAGGGCTTTATTACCTTTGCCGTCGATAGTCAATATGTACTAGTGGAATCCATTTACTTGATTATGGTGATATTTTATTTAGTATAACATATTTTGGAAATATTTATGTGCTAAAGTCATGCAAGATCAATTTGTGTAAATATTTACTAATTTCTGAAGAACAATGAATGATTGCGACCATTAACTTGGATATAACATTTCGATGTCTTACTTTCTCAAACTCGCATCTTATAAAGAGTGATTATTCAGGAGATGGCAAAACTTTCTATTTATTTTAAATTTCTTATCAAGGGTGTTAATTTGGATGCATTACCATAAGAATATATATAAAAGCAAGTGTGTGAATATGAAGGAAACGTGATGTGAAATCAGGCGGACAATTTGTATGGACACACCACTTTTTGCATTTCAGTAACTGTTTGTGCTTTGAGATACGAATTTGAGAGAGTAAGTCTACGATTTGCAACAAACTTTTAGGTACCTTTATTGCAAATATTTTAATGAAATGTGGTAAGGTAGTATTAATAACTTTCACTAATGTAATGATATCACATTGCTTGTTTTCTGGATATTGTTTAGTGTATTAGACAGGCAAGAAATACAATAAAAGCTTAATCCTAAGATAAATTGAATTAATAAATCAATTTAATATTTGAATAAAATTATTTTTTTTGTTTAGTTATGCACAGTATATGATTGAAGGATCACACACTGCACAAACCAGCACACCACTGGACGAACGTACAGAGATTTTCACAGTATTTACTAAAATGTAAGATTTCAATGGTAAATTTTGTGATTAGGTCGGTAAAGCATTATACCTACCGTATAAACGAGCTTATGTTAGCTATTGACTGATTACTGTTCGCTGATGATGATGATGAAAGTATACACAAAATCCAGGTAAATGACTGTCGGCACAGTTCAAATCGGTGCCCTCTGTTGTTAAAGTGCTAAACTAAATAGAGAACTGTATAAGCGCAACGTTTTCAATATATTCTGCAAGATGTCGGCTCGGTAGTTATAAAGTGTGGTTTTATTTCCAAATTACATTTTTTTTAATTCTAAGTCGAAGAACACGAAATATTGTTATTATAGCCACCAAAATGTACGTGACTTAACCATTTTGTTGGTAGGTGAATGGGCTTGACAAAATATTCCACGTATAAGATACTCACGCCATCTATTGTCGTATTGCGGAAGTAGAAGTAAGTAAAAATGTGCCACCAGCAGGGTGTTTTCGGTACTACAATCTATCCCTC